GCGGGGCGGGCCCGCGCCGCTGGAGGCGGGGACCCATGTGAGCCGGCGCTCCCGCTGGGCTTGCCTGGGGGCCTCAGGCGGGGCCGGGGGGTCTGGGCACCGCTGACCCCCAGACCCTTCTCTTCTTCCTGCTCTGCGATCTGAGATCACCTAAGCCGTCGCCGGGCCGCCATGACAGGCCCCACCGTGCCAGGAGACCAGGGGGCCAGGGGGCCAGGGGGCCAGGGGGCCAGGGGGTTAGGTTTGCCCCAGTGCTTCCCCTACGTGCCTCCTCTTCCTTCCACTCCGCAGCCCAAGACCGGGGTTGGGGAGAAAGGGGTGGATGAAGGAGCGGAGAGTACAGTCTGTAAAGAAAACTCCTGAGATGTGTGAGAATTCTCAGTAAGGCATGAGTAAACCTGAAGGTGTCTTGGGAATTAGAAAAATTATTAATTTTCTTTTCATAAGAGCAGCTCTCATTTAATGAGTCCCCACTCTGCCTTGTCCTATTCCACCCTCACAACAGCATCATAAATTACGGCAGATGTTTACCCCACTTTACAGATCAGGAAATTGGGGCTCGAAGCCATCTGCTACCTTGCACAACACAGCACTAATAATTGGTGTAGTCAAGCTTCCAACCCGGAAGATTACTTCTCAAAAACCCAGAATATTGGAAATAGAAATTACATTATGCACACCCTCCGAGATGCAGCAACCCTACTCTGAAATTGAGGGTGATACTCGTTTCTGCTCCTCCTGAAAGTGCCCTCATCCCAGTGCACTGTTGAGGATTTCCAAATGTTTTACATACTCTTTGTGCTTTGACCAAATTAGGTAACATCTGTCCCTGGCATCTGTTTCACCAGGTTTTCTTAACCTCCACAACCTCTGCCCAGGGAAAGGCAAACATTGCCTCCTGAAGAAACCCCCTCCTCCGTATCCGTGCGTCCCCCCAACCCCCATGGCACCAACCACTGCTGACACCCAGGGGTCGCTAACTCCTAGCCTGTAGGAAACGTGGAGTACTCCATGGAGGCAGAAAAATCTTTTGAGTCAAAGAGCTTACAAAATCCAAGTTCTTCGTTTTCCTAATATCAAAATTAAGACCCAGTAAAGAGCAGTACTGGTCTGGCTCACACGGTGGTTGTGGTCTCCAGGACGCTTTATACAATGCAGTGAGTGGCCAAGCCAGGACAAAATGGTAGTTCTTCTGAAGGAGATTAATAGTTAATTACAATTATTATAATTAAATTAAATTAATAATAGTAATCATGATAATAGCTAACATGAATTGATTCTGTGTGCGAGGCAAAGCCCTCATTCACAACCAATTCCATGAATTAGGGTCTGGATTCTATGAGCGGGTTTTAAGCGAGTTTCATGTAAAAGCACACAGATATATTGAGGTCATTCCAGCAAAATCAAAAAGAGGTATGTATTTGCAGATAACTTGAACTAAAGACGTAAAGAAAGAGAAATTTTCTTTTTCTTCTTCTCCTTCATCATCCCTATTTTCATCCAAAACTCTTGCAGGCAGCCATTTCCTCTCTCTAAAAATGATATAATTTGAGCATTCTAACAGAAGGGTGAATCAATAGCTGAAGTTTGTTCCCTCCCTACTGCCAACAACTCTCTCTCTCTCTCACACACACACACACACACACACACACACACACACGCAGAGCAGAATGTCTTTTTTGTTGGAGAAAAAGATAGGTGGAAACTGTGTATATCTTCGCAATCTCTGGAAATACTGTTTCCCAACAGTGTATCCTGCTCCACTTACCAGCATAAATGTTTAACCTCAAGAAAGAGTATCCATTGGTTGGAATGAGATCTCAATTGTGTCTCCCCTCTCCAGGCATTTTCTCATTTAGTGAAAATCCAGCGAGTCTCCATTTGCAGGCTTTATGCACCTCTTCCAACCCCCATGGGTAAAAATTATAATACCTGCATCATCCAGGGCAAAAATGAAAAGAACAAGCCCCTGAGGAATGAGAACCTAAATAGTTTTGTCTTGTGGATTGACGTTAAATATTGCATTTACTCCCAGATACCTAGAGGATCTGTAGCAAGAATTATTAGAATCGGCTCATTCACATTTTTGAAGCAAGCCAACAAAAGAACTAGTTTTTGTATCCAAGAGTTTTACAAAAAAATGATTCTAAATAAAGAAGTATGCAATATAAAAGGTACAGAATACTATCAGACCTGGTATAGCCTAAGAGAATACAGAGGCATTTTTCTATCAAAAGGGAAGTTATAAAGGGAGATTCTCCTTCCCATAACTGACAAAGATTTCTGAAACAGTAAGGTAGATATCTTGGTACCAAAGAGCGAGCGGGTGCTCCGCTGTATGGCTGTTGTCCCTCTTGACTTGAGCCTGTAAAATTACAAAGGAAGCAGTTGTCTCCTGGCCCCTCCCCCACTGTGCACTTGTTCTGCCCCTTTGCACCTCCCTTTCCTGTCCCTCCCCAGGGATCCTAGCCTTCCTCCCCCTCAAGGAGAATTCGTCTCCTTGCTTTACTCTCTCCTTTTCTCATCAAATCAAATTTCTTAACCCTTTATATTGGGAAAGATACACATACAGACAAGAAGTTCACAAACAAAATTGTATGATGACTTATCACAAGGAAAACATTGATGTCGGGTCATGAAATATCGCTGTCAGTCCTCCAAAACCCCCCTTCCAATCCAGATTTTCAAAATAATCAACTCATAGTTTAACCTGAAGTATCCAACCCTAAGCACAAGGGAGTATGTTGTCTGGTTTTGACCTTTATATGAATGGGCTCACACAGCATGACCCTTTTGTGCTTGACTTGGGTCCCTTAACATATTTTTTATCATATTCTTCCATGCTTTTACAAGTAGCTGTAGCCCTTTCATTCTTCTGTTGTATGGAAATAGCACAATTTATTTATCCATTCTACTGCTGATAAACTTCTGGGCCATTTCCAGCTTTTGACTATCATTAATACTGCTGCGCTGAATGTTTTGTACACTTCTGGTGCCCATGTACATGCATTTCTGGATGGTATATATGCAGGAGTGGCATTGTGAGGTCATGCTATGTGTATCTTCAGCTCTAATAGATACTGCCAGTTTCTCAAAATAACTGTACCAATTTTCACTGCTACCAGCAATGCGTATGTTTCCCCAGTTCTTCACGATCTTGACAATTGGAATATTATTAGAATTTTCACAATAGACATTCTTGTGAGTGAATAGTGGTATCCCATGGTGGAATTTGACTTTTCTTGATGACTACTGAGACTGAGCGCTTTTGCACGTGATTATTTGCCATTTGGACGTCCTCTTTTGATAAGGACCAATTCAAATCTCTGTTTGAAGATTTTTATGATCACTTTTATGATGGGTTGTCTGTCTTTTTCTTATTCTTTTATAGGAGTTCTTTTTATATTCCAGTTACCAGCTCTTTGTTAGTATGTTTTGTAAGTGTGTATTTTCCCATTTTGTCTTCCATCTTAGCCCACTTAATGGTATCTTTTGAGAAACAGAAGTTCTTCAGTATAATATAGCCAAATTTATCTTATGATTTTATTTTTGTATGCTACTTAGAAATTTTTCTGATATATTCCAGAAATTTATTATTTTGCCTTTCACATTTAAATCTGTGATCCACCCAAGACTGATTTTTATTTTCTTATGGTATGAAGGCATGAAGGTGTGAAGGTATAGAGGTTATGTTTTTTTTCCCATGTAAGTAGGTAATTGTTACAGCCTCATTCGTTGAAGGGATTATCCTTTCCTCACAACTCTGCAATGCCTCTTTTGTCATAGTTCAATTGCCCATCTATCCATGGGTCTTTTCTAGGCTCTCTCTTCTATTCCATTGGTTTATTTATCAATATTTATGCCAATATCACATTGCCTTAATTACTATGATTTATAAAAAGTCTTAATATTCAGTAGAGCAAGGCTTTTCATTTTGTTCTTCTCCAATTTATTAATTTTAGAATTTGCTTCACAAGTACTACAAAGACCTGCTGGGATTTTGATTGGATTGCATTAAATCTGTAAATCAGTTGGGGGAGAATATTTTTAAAAACAATATTCTCAATCCACGAAATTGGTATATCTTTCCATTTGGTTATACCTTTGATTTATTGCAATGATGTTTTATGATTTTCTGCATAGATACTTTACACATATATTGTTAGACGTGTTCTTAGATATTTGATCGTTTTACACTATTTTGGATACTTGTTTTCAATTTGATTTTCTATCATTTGTTGTGATGAGAAACACAACTGATTTCTGTGTATTGATCTTTTTATCCACATAATTACTTTCACGCATTAATTCTAAAAATTTAACTGAATACATTATTAGGTTTTTATATACATGACCACATTATCTATGAATAATGACGGTTTTATTTATGTCTTTCTAATTTTTCTATCTTTTATATCTTCTTCTAGCCTTATTACACTGGTCAGGAATTTGAGTACAATGTTGAGTATAAGTGTTGATAGCACAGATT